AACCCTATTCTAATTAACAAGGCCCCCCACATTACTATGTGCGGAATCGGTGCCATCGTGAGCCTCAGGGTCAAGCATTGGTTTAGGGTTTAGGGCTCCCGCCTCAACCCTACCTAAAACCCCGCTTAAAGGTTAAAGAAGCGGCTCTGTTGGTGAACCCCGGGTTTGCAAGGGTATTCAGGGAGACCTCGTTTCCTGGAATCAAAACCCGGGTTTGGGGCAGGTTCTTCTTTTCAAGGATGGGATTAATTACATATTTGGGATAGTTTTTACGTAGTCCGGAAGGAGTTTAACAACGTGTTAACCCTAATCCCAAAACCCTAAACCCTAGCCCCAAGCCTCGAACCCAATCCTCTACAACCTAACGGATCTAACGGAACCCAGTCCCCGTCAGCAGCGTGTAGTTGGGAATCTGAGCCATGATTGGCGTCCACGAGGAATCCTGCCAGCCAGTGCCCAAAATCTCGATCTCTAAACGTCTAAACCCGAAAAACCTAAACCTTCCAAAGCCTGAATTCGACACCTACAAGCAGCCTTGACGAAAGTTGAACGGCCCGCGTCGGTCCGAAAGCTCTGAAATGGGACGTTTGGATCACTTGCTTGAAAGATCGGGGGGACTCGGGCTTAGGGTTTTGGGTTCAGGGTTGAGGGTTGTAGGTAGGGTTTCGGGTTTAGGGTTTAGGGTTCAAGTAAGTTCATTTTCGTGACAGGCAACCAGGCTTTGAAGCATCTAAGTGCTCACATCAAAAGCATTATTTCGTTGAGAACATCGCGATGCTTCGATTCGACTGCCTGCCCCTTCCCTCCACCCTAAACCCTAAACCCCAGTTGCAGTCAGATATCGAGGACATGCTGTGCTTGGTGCATATGCCCTTCTACCAGGACATGTGCCACAGAACCTGAAACCCTTAAACCCTAAACCCCGTGACCCTGTGTCAGCGCTGGGCAGCAGCTGTCTCTCATGCCGTCAGCAGAGCACCCGACTACTACAACCTAAACCCCAAGCCACAAACAAGATGCATGCAGGGGGGGTTGGAGCTTGGTGGCATCTTGGAAGCTAAGAGCGTGATTCTGGGCTTGGGGGCTTAAAGGACCTTGCAGGGCGTTCAAGCCATGCCTCATCGAAGTAGCTGCCATCGGCATTGAAGTCCCCCGCAACCATGTAGATATCGGCTGCAAATGTGGCCTCAGGCTGGACGCTCACACATGCTGCCGTCTATTGCATTGCTGTTGGTTGTATGACAACCGTCGACGTTATGCAAGACGTAAGATGGCAGCCATCAATGCGGATAACAATACCGCTGCCGATCTCAATGGATCAGTAGTCGCACAATGATTACTATTGGCATGATGACTCCTTTTAACTCAGTACCAACTGAATAAAGATAGCTACAGATGCGCCCCAGTAATGCTCATGCTGCCGCTGCTTCTTCTGCGAGCTTGCGCCATGTGCAAAAATGATAACTTTGCAAGATATTACAATATATACATATATATATATATATACATGTTTATAGATGTACATACATGCATGTGTGTGGTGTCTGTGTCTGTGCAAAATACCCGCCTACCTAAATCCACGGAGCTGATTGTTTACGCATACGACAAAAGCAACTGAAGAAGCAACCAACAATACAGTTTCGAGCTTGGGATGCTGCGCCTTCGACCTTGCTAAACTTTACACCCAAAGTACTATAGGGGTCTTACCCAAAGTACTATAGGGGTCTTAATAGTTAGAATAGGGTTGTGGGCTCCGTTTAGTATAACTAAAGTAAGGAACCCTAAGGAACAATATGGGTGATTATTTAGGCGTCTACATTAAATCAGGGCATAGGCCTCCAGGGTTGGGGATTTCGAGTCGACAGCTTCAGTTGACAATAAGTTTCGGATCTAGGAGTTTATCGGGTATAGGGTTTAGGGTTTAGGGTTTAGGGGTTTATCGGGTATAGGGTATAGGGTTTAGGGTTTAGGGGTTTATAGGGCATAGGGTATAGGGTTTAAGGTTTAGGGGTTTATAGGGTAGAGGGTATAGGGTTTAGGGTTTAGGGGTCTATAGGGTATAGGGTTTAGGGTATAGGATTAAGGGTTTAAGGTTTAGGGGTTTAGGGTTTAGGGGTTTAGGGTTTAGGGTTTTACGGTTTAGGGTTGCTGAATGTGCCTCCATCCACTGGAGCACTTGCGGATAGGCCGCGATTTCCTGGCGGTGTTTACGAACTACCTGGACCCCACACATATGTTGAACAATAGCCTTTTGTGGGTCTTGGGCCATTATTTTGCCTATTTTTGTTTCTGTTTGGGGGTTAGGTAAACCCTAAACCCTAAACCCTAAACCCTAAACCCTAAACCCTAAACCCTAAACCCTAAGCCAAGCTCTAAGCCCTCACTGCCCTAAGAGCCTCACCCTAAAGTCCAACACCCGAACTGCACAGGCTTTAGGCTCGACCTAGACCCCTAGAATGCAATCCCTAAACCCTAAACCCTACTACCCTAAACCGTATACCCTAAACCCTAAACCCTACACCCTACACCCTAAACCCTAAACCCTAAACCCTACTGTGCCCGAAACCCTAAGCTACCATGCCCAAAACCCACAATGACATGACAGATGCATCTCGGCTTCCGGCTTCAGGGGACATGATAGTCTACCCATAGGCCCCATAGTTGTTCCTTTTGGGGGTTCATATTTAGAATCCTATAAGGTAATCCCCAAAAGGAACTACTGAGGGGCCTATGGGTAGGGCTTTCCGGGTTTGGGATTCGAGGAAATTGTGTTTAGGGTTTAGGGTTCAGGGTTGAGGGTTGGTTTAGGGTTTAGGTTCAAAGAAATAGGGTCAAGGGTTCACGGAAATCGGATGAGGTGCCGGTGGCCAAGAGTTTGGAGGAATCTCGGTACACGGGTACCTTTGCGCTTTAGGCTTTCAGGATCAGAGTAGAGGGTTGTGGATCAAGCGATCAAGCTTGAAGGTGCTAAGTAGGTGCCACACTCAACCCTACACCGCTTCGATTTTAATATCTAGGCCCTCTACAGCCTAAACCCTGCTTACGCCTGCAGCCCGCGGCTCAAGATCCAACTCCAAGCAGTACCTATCAAGTAGAATACTGGGGTATAGGCATTACAAGGGCAGTTCTCTGAAGTAGGGTCCCTTTTTAAAGGTCCCCCAAATAGTGCGGCACCCTTGCGAAAAGGACCCTTAAAGGGACCCTAATTTTAGAAACTGCCCTTAACCCTAACTGTGGTCACTACAGGGGTTCTACAGGGTTTAGCTTAAGGAACAGGAACCGACTAGTGCTTGTAGAGAAGGGATCTCAGAATTGCCCGAAAGTCTCTGGACTCTCATAGTACACAACCCACTAATTATGGAAACCCTCGTAGTTCGAAGGCTCTCAAAACAAATGGTTTCGAGTGCCTCGGCCCAAAACCGAAGAATAGAGGGTATTGGGGCTGTTGTGTGCCTTAGGGTAAAGGAACCCTCTGCTGTCCTTTGTGTAGGGTTCAGGGTTTACGGTTTGGGGTTTAGGGGCACCCGTAAATATCCTTAAATGAGATATAGTATGAAAACCTGAAGTGGTAATGTTACAGCCATCTGTTTTCCCAGCCACCTGCTCCGCTGTGGAGGGCGACGTGTGGGTGGAAGCCACCGCTAAGGAAATCCCGCCTGTACGGCAGGGGCTACTGGCCGGGTTTTAGGATTCATTCTAAAAAACTCTTTAGAGTTTATGAGGTTCAGAGTATAGCATCGAAAAGCCTGGACCTTTGCATTGAATGAGAAAGCTTAGAGTAAAGCTGTTTATGCCCCAACCCCACAGAACAATTGATTCAAGCGCGAGGGGCCTGTGTTGACGTGGAAGGCGTATGGAGGTCGCGAAAAAGTGCCTCGGCTTCTAACTCCACACAGCCCGAAACCCTACACCTGAAAGTGCTCATTCCATGGCCACTCAATACGCCTACACACACACACATTCAAACGCCTTTAACACCCATCACGTAGTGATAAACCCGAGCCCCTGAACCCCACGCCCTGCGCCTGAATCAAACATGCTAAACCCCCAACAGCGCGACGCCCGAAAAAAAACCTATGGAACACTTATCCTTAAAGCCCTAAAGCAATCCTTCTCCTTAGAGGAACTGGTAAAACGAACCCGTAACCCTTGCCACAAAAAACGGAACCCCTCATGAAGCCACTTGACAAATGCGACAAGGGCGCTGGCGTTGTCCGGATAGGTTGAGCCAGCCAAGTAGCTGACAACCAGTGGGTCGAATAGGATGGCATACCTTGTAAAGTTTATGCTTTAAGGGCTTTGGTGTTTTTAAGGGTTTAAGATTTATGGATTACTGTCAGGTTTAGAGGTTCAGGTTTAAGCTTTAGGCTTTGGGGTCTAGGCGGCTTGCACTCAAAAAACTGTAACGCTTCAGTGGTTTTCTACCTTAAGAACCCAAAACCCACTTTTTTGTAGGGTCCCTATAAATCCCATATTAGGGTTTATAATCAGAACCTACAAAAGTGGTTTTTAGGTTCTTAAGGTAGGGCTTTAAGGGATTTCAAGGCTTCCAGGATGGTTCCCTGAAAGGTCCTCTATCCCTAAGGCTCCAGGTGCCCATATAGTACATACTCAGGCCTTAAAGTACCTATATAGGGACCCCCTTAAGGCCTAGGTATCTACCATAAAGGTACATGGAGCCTTTGGGTATGGATGATTTCAAGGCAGGCCGTTGCCTCTAAGGACTCATAATTTGAAGGCTTCTGGCCTTTGGGGCCCAAATGGGAGTTTCCGAAAATACGGGGTACCTTATTCTGGAGTCCTTATAGTAAGGATCCTACTATTTACTATTTAGGGTACTATATATTAGGGTCCCCTATTTTCAGAAACCCCCAAATACCATACTACAGGGAGTACTTGGGCTGTTGTAGATTTGGGGTAACGGACTCTACTCACCCCTGCAACCTAAACCCTAAACCCTAAACCCTGAACCCTGAACCCCGAACCCCCAAACCCTGGTGTGGTGTGGTTCGGCCTTTGGGTCTGCTTGGGGTCGTTGGTATGATGTATGATGTGGGGGCGTTAATAGTTAGACTAATTAGAACAGGGCTTTGGGGGGTTCCTTTAAAGGATTCCTCAAAGGGGTTCTATAAGGGCTACTGTAAGGGTTTAAGGTTTAGGGGCCTTAATAATTAGAAGGGTTTTGAGGGTTCCTTATTATAACTATAGTATACTAGACCCCCAAGCCATATTCTAATTATTAAGGCTCCTTATTATTATGTTGCACCGTGGTTGGAGTACTCTCCTGACCCCTCGTTGTGGTGCGGTGTGGTTCGGGGTTTGGGTCTGCGGTGTTGATTGAACCGGGATCATGTACAGTATGCTCCTGTGCCTGAAGCCCTATACAAACCCCAAAGTGCCGAGGCTCTTAGGGTAAGACCTACACCAGTCCTATTCTTGGGTTGCAGCGCTAGCTGCTGCTCATCGCCGATGCGCGGTGATGCCTCGGACTATATACGGTTTAGAAGATGGGACCTGAGTGTTGGGGATCCGGTAAGATGCCCTTGTACTCTGGAGAACGGGACTTATTGCAGGGATCCTCGTTAAAGCACGTTTGAACTCCGAAGTAAACGGACACACAGACAAGCAGATAGACAGACAGACGGATAGACAGACGGACAGACCGACCGATGGACATACAGACAGACAGGCAGACAGACGGACCCGAACCCCGATCCAACACCTTACTGTACCTAGGTAATGCAGCATTATCATCAACCGTATTGCTACAATCTCCACACCCCAAACCGTGAGCCTTTAACATGACCACGACGATTAAAGCAAAGCGATCAAACCTTTCTCGGCTAAGGGTTTAGGGTTTAGGGTCTATAGGGTATA